ACCTAGCACCTGCTAATGTCTGCTCACCTTTTTTCTGTGAGAACTTAAGACCTAGACACTCATGAGGGTTTTGCCTTGAGTCAAATTATCCTCAGAGGTCTCTTTCTCACAAAAACAAACAGAGCCGATGATTTAAACCGGTAAAAACCTTGAATGAGGCAAATACAAAAAATCGGTGTCTTTTCGCGAGTAGTTGTCGTGGAGGGACTGCTTACTATGGTGGTTGGCCCTATGTCTGGTTTGTCAGTTCTAGGACTGAAGAAACTTAGCAGTGCAACACGATGATCTCTGTAGACAAGGACCAGCTCCCTATGTAGAAATAAGCAACTCATTATAAGGTAACAAAAACACAATTCTTATTTTCAGGTGATTATACACTAAAGAAAACATTGTATTATATTCCATTTCTTCCAATATATCCCCCAAAGTCCTACAAATTGGACCTTAAAGTGAACAAAATAATCTCTAAGATTCTAAGGAATCTGCAATGTATGCAATTATAACTTAAAAGTTAAAACTCCATACATTGCAAATTAACAACAGCAGAGCTCTCCGGGTCGACCTCCATCTCTGGCGAGCTTAGCAAATGACGTTTTATCTTCAAGGTAACAGATATGAGTAAGAGGATCAAAGTTCAGGGTGAAATGGTATGACAAAGTAGTGTGTCCCCACTGTGTACATACTGCATGCAACACCTGCAAAGGCAAGCTGTAGTGCCCACTGACAGTGAAAGCAAAGAGTGTGAAATTCAGAACGCAGCTCTGGTATTAGTAGCAAAGCCAAGTATACATTTCTCACGGTCAATACAGACGTGTTACATTTAGTATGGTGTTTTTTTTGTTTTTGTTTTTTTTAAGATAACATTTTTTAAAAAGCATTAAGATATAGTTTGGATATATTTTGGGTGGGTATCTTACTTTCTGATGTAAAGTCTTTTAAAATTGGCAAAAAACCCCCACAAACATTGTGTTTATTAAAATCAATTCATAGATACCAAGTACTTGATTGGCAATAAGAAAATGGCTATGTCTTTGAAACTACAAGGAGCGCACATACATATAAGGTCAGTATAGAAACACTATGAGATGAGGCCCAGGGTCTCATAAACCTAAACAACCGTGTCTCCAAAACAACTCTTCATCACCATAACCATGTTTTTCAAGGAGTTTTTAAATTGTTTGTTGAGCTGAAGAAGTAGACAAGTTTTTGCGACCCATCTATAAATACTTAATTCTTCAGTTATAGGAAAAAGTCATCTTCACAAGATCGATAAGCACTTAAAATGAGCCTAACAACTACCAACATACATATTATATTTATTCAATTCCTGTCCTGAACATAGTGATGATCCTTCAATAGATATATCAGAGGTTCGTTGGTATGATTGTGGCTTCTTTAAGGATACTAATAGTTATCTTAAGCGCTATATCGTAGGCAACTGGACTTCCTTGAGTTGAGTTGAGTTAAGTTGAGAACTCAAGCAAGACCGGTTGCCTACGATATAGCACTTGCGATGACGTGAATGACTGAGAATCTTCATCAACAGATATCAATAGATACTGTAAATACGCTTTACTTTCACTTGAGGCCCCTGATGGCCTGAAAACTGGAGGATCCTTGTGGAAGAAAAGGCCAACGAGGCTGTTTCACTAAATCATTGCCGAATCCAGACAATGGTATTCCAACTAATTTGCAACCCAGCGCTCAAAATCTTGCAACGCATATTATAAGAGACTTATTTATAGGACTTGCATCTCAATGCAGGTTTGGGGAATAATTATATGAATCCTCTTATAATTAGGCACACTTTATGAAGGTTTATGATGTGTATCTAATGACGTTTTGGATGTTTAATCAAGGACTTAATTGTGTTTTAGAGATTGGTAGAACTATTAACGATGTTTGAGTGCATGAAGGTGTCAGCATGCTTGAAAAGAACTAGCTCATATGATGAGTCGTCCGACTATGTCTGACGACCATAAGTTTTCCAGATAGACACGCTTCAAGACAATCCTGTCATGCAACCATCTGAAGAAAGAAATGTGACAGAAGTAGGGGGGGCTTGAGGGTTCACTGGGCAGAACTGTCTCCAATTTCTGACGAGTTACAAAAATTATCAGATGTAATCCTTAATTCCTACATCAGTAACGTGTAGGGTCTCAGATAAAGATTGACCATCCAATAAACACTTTGTTTGAAGCATACTGACACCTTAAAGGGATAGTTAGGATTTTTTGAAGTGGGGTTGTTTGACGTACTTATCTATGGTCAGTGTATTACATAAAGTAGATGGAAGTCAACATGCCCCTAGTGCCCTGTTGGGGAACTGTAGCCATTATATTGCTCTCTTCAAAGCCAGACTCCATTGACAAAAACAGTAATTTAACATCACAGAACACAGGAGCTGCTGGTCTACCACTGCCTCGATCAGTCAGTTTGTTTGTGTTATTGTGTGTCTTTTGTGTTTGAAAGGGTTAATTCAGATTCACCGAAGTCACTCAATAACACTAACTAACTAACTGATTGCGGCAGCAGTAGACCAGCGACTCCTGTGTTCAGCCAGCTAAAATTACTGTTTTTGTCAATGGAGTCTAGTGGCTTTGATGAGAACATAGATAGATGGGGAATTGAAGCCGTTAACAGCTTCCCAGTCTGAAGGGGTTCTCTGACACCAAGATAAAGCAGTGAAAATATTCTCAATAGCGTATAATTAAACTGAAATTAATTTTTTAAGTGGCTAAAATACATTTTGCTGCTGCCCACGTCCACAGCAGTACGTTTTTTAGCTTCCATGTCAGTAGTCCTGCTTGCTTCTCCAAACTGGGGGTGTGCTGACTGACATCTACTGTAGGTAATACGCTGATTATGGATAAGTACCTCATACAAGCCCACTTTAAAAGATCCTGACTATGCCTTCCTCCTATATTCCAGCTCATGCTTCGTGGAAAAAACTGGGATCAAGGCGGGAATGAATTCCCCCATAAATATAACAGCTCATGTCGTAGTTGTATGAAAACACAATTCTCCACCACTGCAACTTTGACTTACATCTACATTCAGTGTATTTGTATTATGGCCTGTACATGTGGGTACTCCATGTTAACATAATTACGTTCACGTGCAATTTAACAACAGGAAGTAACCAGTCGCCATGGTGATCTGACATTTTTCTCAATGTGTCTGTGTCCAGCAGTCTGTCCAAACCTTCATCTAAATCTAAACACTTCCATAAACCCTTCGCCCCTCCACTTCCTCAGCCCAGAATTAGAAGCTGAGGAGTTACGACATTGACCCAAATTAAACAATGGAGAGCAGCTGTGGGCCACCGGGCTGTAATTTAGGACTGACTTTTACCATCTTCTTCTGAGTTAGTAGCGGCCAACGTTGTGTCTCTCTGCTGTAAATCTGGCCAGTGTACTACTGTTGTGGTGCCGATGGGGAATTCCTCAATGAGAAGGTGGGATTTGTTTTGACTGAATGGAGTCGAGACTTTCTGTAGACTTGGAGTCAAAACACCATCACACCTGTTCTTCCCACTCTCTTTGATACAAACACAAGGATTGAAAGCTGACACAAAAAAGCCACAAGAGTAGCGCCCAGTGCCTGACCTCGCATTATCCAGGTGGTTAAAGACGCAGCATGTGTACGGCCTCTAATTTCCAGGGCTGGTACCTGCGGTTATTCCACAGGCTAGTTAATAACATGTCGGGCAGGAAATCCAAAGTGTGGGATCATTTTGAGAAGGTGAAGGACGAACCCAAGGTGATATGTAAACTCATCTTCATTGGTCGACTACAAACATGACGTATCATCTGAAACATGGAAGTAGCTACATGCCCATTAGCCCACAGCGTCATTAACAGGCGGCTCGCTCAGTGTGTGACGTGCACTTGTAGATAAAATATAGGCCTATATTAATGAAGGTTCATTAGTACGGTTTTGTATTTCTCTGTAATGTAGCACAGTGTTAACAATGTTACTGATACTATTCTTTCTCACACCTTCAGCTCAAACCAACAAAATATATAATTTAATAATCAAATTAATATCCTAAACATGTGGGCGACTAGTTGACTAATGGCCCTAAATGACAACTATTGGTCAATTGGAAAATTCTTAGCCGTGGGCAGCCCTACATCAGTAAATCAATATGTTTGGTGTTTTCCATGGAGCAGTACCACAGCTTCTGTTGTTCTGCAGCAGAATCCGAAATGTATTTTCCTCTGTGTTGCATCTAAGTGTTTACTCCAAACTGTGAGGAAAACCATATTTATTAATCATAGATATCTACCCAGTACAGGTGCAGGGTGTGGAGGCTCAAGTTAGCTAAACTTTTCATTTAACACTGAATTATCTTTGACTAGAAAAGCATTGGTACATCCACTACATTATTAACTACTGTAGGATTTTAGGGACTGTTTTTGCTACTAATGCTAATAATTTAATGCTAAAACCTCAAATAATCCTGTGTAGCAGTCAGATAGTGCTACAGATTTGACCGTCCCTATTGTTACTGCTAATATCCCTCCGCGCTGTAAACACAAGGCAGTGGATACAGCGACACTGAACACCTGTTAACCTCAAGCCTTGCATCAGACAGTTTCAGGTTATGCAGCATGTTTCCTCGGGTTATTCTCCACATCACAACAGTTATAGGAAAACTAGTAAACATCATGAGAACTAAAATAAAAATCACAGCTAAAAACAAGCGTATTCTTGGATGTTAGAGGAATATCACAGGGCAGGATTGTAGAAAAATGACAAAAACAATGGAAATAAAAGATTAGATAAATCTTTAAAGTCCACTAAAACACACTATAAGTACTTAAAGGGATGTTGCAGAGATTTTTATTTGGGTATATTTGATGACATTGGCCTGCACACAAGTCAAATAAACTCAGATCCACAAATTATTTTCATATTTTGATCAAATGTTGCTTTGATGTCAGAAGAAATAGCTGCAAAATATGACGAGTAAAGTATGTCTCTGTGTCTCTTACCTTCCTGCTGACTTGTAATAGAAGTTCACTTGGACCACAGCTTTGAAACCTGAAGCTTTAATTAATTTCACTGTCCAGCAGACATGTGAAAAAGACAGATGGCATTCGATCTGTCTTCGGAGGAAAAAGACTGAAAAAAAGATGAGAAAATTCACGGTTTTGAGCGGCGCGCACTTGTTGACAGCTCGAGCATGTTTTACATCACCTCTCACTTTGACATCACATTGTTTGTTTTCTTTTGCAGTCCCTCTACGTCGTTGTCATCCTATATTTAGAAAAATAAAAGCTTCTAAGAAGAAAGAGAAAAAACACGAAACCAGGCGAGAGGCCTGGGCGAGGATTAACCAGTCAGTCAGTGTCTCCCAGCACACTGGTACTGGCAGTACCGGTTCTGGCTCACTGTCACTGGGTCATTATGTAATCAGATGAGCACAGTTTGCACTTCTTCCTGCATGTTAAGCTGAGAGGGAGCCCTGTGTGTCCAGACAGAGAGAAGTTAAAGAAGCCTGTGCTGTCCACTCCTCCAGGACCCCCCTGCACGCCTCTCTATATAAACCCAAAAGTATTCAGACAGCCGCTGTTTCACAACATTTTTAATTCATTAATTCAACTCTCCTCCCAGCTTCTCCTCCTACCCTCCCTCTCCGTTTCGCTCCCCGACTGTACTCTATAAATGGGCCTCTTTGTTGCGAGGCCTCCTCCGCTGTTTCAGCCTTTGTCAACTTTCTCATGTAAACGTTTGATGGTTATAAGATACAAGCCTGGAAGTTGTTGCACTGAAACGGAGGTATTTACAAATCAAAGACGTGAGGAAAAAAAACAGGGCTCTTTTCTTGTGCACTTGGCTCCTTGCGGTTTTGCGTTGGCCAGCGTGCAGTGAATGAATAATGTCGGTGCATCTCTGTGAGGCTGTGCCATGTCCGCCTGCAAGGAGGGGGGACTCAGTGGTTGTATAGGCGAGTACACGTGGTCCTGCTGTGAATGGACAGCAGCACGGGATGACCAGGATGAATTAATTCACCAGAGCAACAAGTATGTTGAAACACTGGCCCCATGGTTGAGTGTGTTATAACTTTCATCTCTGATGGAAAGGAAAACTGGTGGAAAACACATTTAACCAAGTACTGTACCTAAGTTCTTGTACTTTACGTTAGCATTTCATTTTATACTTCACTATACTTGTACTCCACTCCACTTTTTGGCGCTTTTCCAGCTGTTATTGAAAGTAAAACCCAGTTTAGACCAAAGATTTACGACAAGACAAGTTAAAACAAGCAACTACCTGCAATGCGCCATTCTGCAACATTCCAAAAACCTACCAGTTCACACCAATGCAACTACTGTAGATGAGATGGTGTATCATCGCTATGCAACAACTCTCCATACTTTTGTTCTGTTTTCCAGCTTTTCAGACTTATTTTGTGGCTGAATATAATTTGTAGCTTCTTAAAATATGAATGAGGATAATGATAGTGAGATACTGGCTACAGTTGCATTTGTAGTTGTGATGAAACCGCGAAAAACAGACACAAAACGAACATCAGATGGACTGTATTTACAATGAATACACCACAATAAGATAAAAACCAGCGCCAGTTAAACAGTGAATGAGAACGTGCGTGTGGGGAGGCATACGCACATACAGCGAGCAGCAGCAGCAGCAACCTACAGTCCGACACTGGCACACCATGAGGATGGAAACAGAGGGCACCATGTTGACTTTACCAGCAGACTTCACTACAAGCCAACGGGCTGTTAAAACAGGTGATGTACTTTACATTCTAAAACCAGCCGCTGGCGATTTGACCAGCTGAGTTGCAAGTGACACCATCACCCGGCATGAGTCGAACTCAGACAGCCAGTTCATACCACTGCAACGGTTTTGTCACGTCGCAAATCTTTAGTCTGAACTGGACCTAAGGGCTTGTTTGTACTCAAAGTCAGGTACGGAGAATGGGACGGATGGAGCCTTCAGTCTGTACTCTGTGTTCATTTCTTTCGTATTTGCTCACATTTTCTGAAAGCATACGGATATGGATGAAAAGAAGCAGTACCATCAGGGATTGTGAAGGCAGAGTACCGTAGTTCAGACACAACTGTAGACAACAAAGAAAATTAAATAATGGTAATATATTAGAATATATTCATATTATTATATTTTGATATTTTGTTGATTATACATCCGCAACATGCAAAAAATCCTGGAATAAAAATAGTGAAAGACTTTTTTGTTATCATTTTGAAACTATTAAGTTGGCCGGAGTGGAAAAAGTTACCTTTTAAAATACATTGTAAAACAAAAACCACCCCAGTTTTAAAAGGAAGGCTCAATTATGTTGGATATATTTGGACTATGTGTTTGATTTTTTATTTTTTGTTTTTTTAACTCTGTCTCAAATGTGAATAGAAAGCAAGCTCAACTATTTGATTATAGGCTACAGTTTTAAATGCTTAAAGTTATATTATTTGTTGTACATAGAAAACAAGTATATGGTCTTACTCCCCACAGAGTTAGTGTATGTCTCTAAAGGAGCAGCCTTATAGAGTTTTTTTTATTTCAAAGGGCATCTTGTCTGCCTACCATTCAAAGCTTGCCTTTTGACTTTGTTTTGACCAGAGTTAAATTTACCAAAAGTTCAGATGAGAGTCTCCAGGCGGGGCGCAGACGCATGAATCTGCAGCTGGGACACACCGTACAATAAACTCAGCACTGCGCAATATTGGGCCTGGCTGGTTTCACACGCACATCAATCTGGGGGGCCCCTCCGAGCTGCCAGCCGGTGTTGTTCCTCCGCAGCACCCTCTCCTGTCCTGCAGAGTGTGGGGCTCCCCTATTCCAGGCAATGGGGCCCTGCATTCACAGGGGCCCAGATTATATGAGTGTGTTTACCTTCTGGGTGAAGACATGTCGACAGCTTTCTGAACTTACTTTGCCTATACTGACCTGAAATAACCCTCCCCATCACATGGACATTTAACTTTGGCAGCTTAACCTGTTACATCTTTTTTTAACAATGGAATATGCACCTATTACAGCTTCATATTTATTTCTGAAAACAAACCTCATTGGTTGGTTGAAAACTGAGCAGGTGGAGTCAATATACACTCACTGACCACTTCATTAGACACACCATTTCAACTGCTCATTAACACAAATAGCTAATCGGCCAATCATGTGGCAGCAACTCAAGGCATTTAGGCATGTAGACATGGTCAATACGACCTGCTGAAGTTCAAACCGAGCATCAGAGTGAGAAAGGAAGGTGATTAAAGTGACTTTGAACGTGGCATGGTTGTTCGTGCCAGACTAGCTGGTCTGAGTATTTGAGAAACTGCTGATCTACTGGGATTGTCACACACAACCATCTCTGGTTCAAGATGATAGAAAGGCAACAGTAACTCAAATAACCACTGGTTACAACCAAGGTCTGCAGAAGACCATCTCTGAAGCAACAACACGTCCAACCTTGAAGCAGATGGGCTACAGCAGCAGAAGACCACACCAGGTGCCACTACTGTCAGCTAACAACAGGAAACTGAGGCTACAGTTCACACAGGCTCACCAAAACTGGACAATAGAATAGGGTGACCATATTTTGATTTCCAAAAAAGAGGACACTCAGCCGGCCACGACATAGCCTACTTAAATGATACTTGCAGTTTACTCAAAGATGCCTTATCATTTTAATATATTTAAAATTTATATGTATGGATAGAAAATTCTATTATATTACAAAATAATATCTCTCAAAGACAGAAATTCAGATAGGCCTCTATAGGGGACACATACACACACTAGAGTGTGGCGATCCAAGCCTGACAGTAGGCTACCCGACAGGTCGGGCAGGTTTTGTCAAAAATGTAGAGCTACATTTTTGACCAAATCCGGCCCGACCCGTTATAGCTATATAAATTGTATTTGGGCTCGGGTTGGATTTGGTCAGCTTTCAGTAAAAATGTAGTGTAAAAATAAATAAAATCCTATTGTCTGTCCTGTTTATTGCTTGGGCACTGTTATTTACGTGACAACACCTGAACATAACACACACAGACACACATTGGCTGTTTGTTTCTACCTCTCTCCTCTCTGGAAGTGTCGGACCTCCAGCCGTCCGCCTCCGCCTTGATTAAACGCTGAAAATAAAATAAAAGAGGGAGACAGGTTTTTCCTATTTTATCTTATTTTGTTTTATTTCTTCCTCTCCTCTCGCTGGAAGTGTCGGACCTCCCGCCTCCCGCTCCCATCTCACACACAGAGTCCCTCTCCGCTGAGCACCCACGGCGCACGCCCGGCCTGTTAAATAGCCTGTAACCGTAACAACTGTGTGACACAAACTCAGTGCTTTGGTCGTTAATGTCAGGCTTGGTTCGGGTTCGGCAGAAATATGCGGCCTGTGCCGCACTCTAACACACACACACACACACACACACACACAAACACACGGAAAACAGGACATTATCATAAGTTTATAAAACCCCCCCGGACGCCCCGGACGGGACGTGAAAAGTGGACATGTCCGGGCAAAAGAGGACGTTTGGTCAGCCTACAATAGAAGATTGGAAAAACGTTGCCTGGTCTGATGAGTCTGGATTTCTGCTGCCACATTCAGTAGGGTCAGAATTTGGCGCCTTGTATCAACGGTTCAGGCTGCTGGTGGTGTAATGGTGTGGGGGATATTTTCCTGGCACACTTTGGGCCCCTTAGCACCAACTGAGCAGGTGGTTACATTTTTAAATTAAAAAAATTGCAGTCACTATTGAAGGTAGCTCTGCGATTGGTGGGTGGGTGGGTTTGTGTAGGATGTCCTGTGTCACACAAGCGCTACTGCCGTGTTTTTACTCCACCACCTTGCATGGAACCTTGACTGAGGCGGTACCACAAAAGTACCAGGTACTATCCACAACTTTTGCTAATGGAACTCCAAAAAAGAGCAAGTTGAGTAAAGCCTTGATGTATACCTGCTACATGCTAAAAGCTAAGGTTATGAACATGGTAAATGATGTACCTTACCTTAACATGCTAACATCAGTGTGTTAGCTCTAAGTAGTTGAAAGACAGGGTGAATAATACTGGGGACGCACATGTGACACATACACAGTAGAGATGAACTGGTGCAGACCAAGAGGCGCTCACAGACTAAATACACAAGGGAGGCAGGTTAAGTGTTGTATCTGAAACCAGAGCCACAGCTGAGTAACAAAATAAAACAGGAAATGCTAACTGGAAAAACTGAAAACAAGAACACTAAACTAACAGCTGGAACAGGATGTAACAACATGCACAGAAGCAAAGCAAAGAGAGATGATGAGCTGTAATTTCACACATCTCACAGACTGATTTAGGCTCAGATCACACAGGAAGCATTTTGGCAACTGGAGGCGGCTTTTTGTAATTGTTTTTAATGAGAATGAAGCATTTTGCTTGCGGTTTTTGCACTGCAACGCGCCTCATGCTTCTGAGCTCTAGGTGCCTGGCATTTTTTCCCAAGCGCTCTGAACTCCTCAAGCTGAAAAACTTCAACTCAGAGCGGAAAAGCACCCC